TTTTTCAGGCGCACTCCCAGGACCTCCTGCGCTTGCGAAAAGTATTTCTGGAAAGTAGATTTTGAGGGGAATTGATGGCGCAGGTCACACAACTGAACATTTCTATATTAACCATTTTGTGACAGTTGCCAGGAGGTCTGACAGCGGGCTGAAGACAGAAGCCTGCCTACTCTCGACGTGGACGTACATATGGAACGCACCATTTTTAGGCACACTCCCAGGACCTCCTGCGCTTGCGCAAAGACATTCTGGAAAGTCGTTTTTAAGGGGAATTGATGACGCACGTCACACAACTGAATCTATATAAGCCATATATAGTGAAAGCCATAATTTTGTGACAGTTGCCAGGAGATCCGACTAAGGCTGAAGCCTGCAGGCTCTCTGGATTTTGAAATAATATACGGAACGCAAAACTATTGAGAACTGCTGAGCGAAATTGGTGCACCACTTGTCATGCGCACTCCCTGGACTTCCTGCGCTTAGAGAAAGACTTTTGGCCTCCCCGAAACAAACATAGAACGTAGACATACGTAGACCATCTTCGAGTTTGTAAAGACCATTTTGCTTTGGGGTCATGCCCACCAAACCTGTATGTGTGTTATTATTTGTTTGCCGACCTCACCCCCCCGAGTCTTCCATGAAGTTCCGGTCTTGTCTCACTCAAAAAGCAAGCGTACCACCACCTGGGCTCTTGCTCCAGGTGGTGCCACTGGATGACGTGGTGGGCTCCGATGAGAAGATTTCCTTGGGCAGGGGTCCCACCCGTGTTTCGCCGTGGATTGGTCTGAACCATCCGTGGGACTGGAAGCGTTACCTACATGGATTGGTCTGTAACTCATGGGGTCAATGTTTGTAGCTGATTCCAGTTCGATGGACTGCTGTGTCTTTATACTCTATAGTTTTTTTTTCTCTTCCTGGGCCCGGCCCCAGCCCGGGGGGCGCCGAAGGAATGTCTTTGGGGGCATAGGTATCACAAAAAAAAGAAAACGAGCATCAAAAAAAAGAAAAAGAGGATCAACAGAAAAGTAAAAAGCGAATCAAAAACAAATATTCCTTGATAGGCCTCTTCTGCTGCTCTCCTGGCACTGTGGTCTGCGGTTCCTCTGGTAATAAGGTCCCTTGCTCCTTTGGTCCCTTGGTCCTCTGGTCCACTGCTCCTTTGGTCCCCCTGGTCCCTTGGTCCTTTGGTCCACTGGTCCCCTAGTCCTCCGGTCTCCTGGTCCTGTGGTCCGCTGGTCCCCTGGTATCCTGGTCCTTCTGTCTCCTCGTCCGCTGGTCTCTTGCTCTCCTACTCCGCTCGTCTTTCGGTTTCCTGGTCCCCTGCTTGCGCAAATCGAGGCTTGATTGCTTTCTACTAGAGGCAGCTCCCTGGGAGGAAAGTAGGTACCCAATCATGGTAGCCGTCCAGTCATTGAGTAGCCCTACTCGAAAAATGGTTCACCGGTAGAAATAGCTTCCTACTAGGAAGGAGCTCCTAGGGAGATACACTCTCCTAGTCCCCTACTCCTTCCATCCTCTTCCCTTGGTCTCCTAATCCTGCTACTGCTACTACTACCCCAACCATCCTCAGTGGGCTAGAATATTTTGTTGATTCCCTTTTTATTTGTTATTTGATCCCCGTTGAATATGTTTTGATTCTATTTTTACTTATTTTTTTGATCCCTTACCCGTCTTTGGGCACCTGGCTTTGGAAGAAGTTGCCGCCGTCGGAGACAGCGAGTCCGGTGCTCAACTCGGCCGAGAAACACCATCTCGGTCAGCGCCCGGTGCCGAGGAATCTCGTTTCTTCGCACCTTGCACCTCCCGAAAAGCATCCTGGTTTCCCTAGGCTTCCAACAACCATTAATGTAGTCCCTTGATTAATCAACCCCCCTCTCAACAATTGGAGACGCTAGAATAACATTATAGAAATGCAATCAATTGACGACAATTAAAAGAATCATTACTTAGCTATCTTGGCAATACCAAAAATGAAAGGAATCATTACTTGGCTATCTCTGGCAATACAAAAAATGAAAGGAATCATTACTTGGCTATCTCTGCCAATACTAAAAATGAAAGGAATCATTACTTGGCTATCTCTGCCAATATTAAAAATGAAAGGAATCATTACTTATAGCTATCTTTGGCTATCTTTGGCAATGCTGGACTACCCCCTTTGCTGGAATGTTTTTGTTGTTTTTGTGAATATATAATGCTTTTTGTAAAGAAAGTGCGCACATACTTTTTGGTTTGTTTGGAAAGCTTAAAGATTAACGAGATAATGACAAGTACAGGACTTGATCAAAATGAAAAGTAAACACAAAGATTGAAGATCAGTTTCAGGAAAGCTGCAATCCAAGAAGCCCCAAATATCTAGACATTATGTTAGGGCCCCCCAAAAAATAATGACAGAAACTTGCTTGCTGGACTACCCCCTTTGCTGGAATGATTTTTTGCGTTTCCAGTGTTTTTCCCGAGAGCGCCTGCGAAGGGTTCTTGGTAAAAAACATCTGCATAACTACACCTCCTCTACATCTTCACCTCTGCGCAATCACGTTCTCACCTATATCTCTGCTCATGTTCACATCTGCACATCTACATCTCTGCTCACCTTGACATCCTCGCATCTACATCTCCGCTCATCTTGATCTTGACATATCTACATCTCTGCTCATCTTCACATCCTCGAATTTACATGTCCGCTCATCTTCATCTTCACACATCTACATCTCTGCTCATCTTCACATCCTCACATCTACAGCTCACATCTTCACCTCTCGCTCTTCTTAACTTTCTCTCTTAAGGCCGGGGGCAGTGCCGCCGGAGCACCGCGAAACGCAACCCTCTGCAGAGATCGTGCGTGTCGAGCGAACGAAATACAGGCGAGAGTGCGATTTGTCTCTGTCCGTCGCAACCCTCTGGGGAGATCGTGCGTGTCGAATGCGCGAAATGCAGGCGGGTCGCGGGCAACCCTCTGCGGAGATCGTGCGCGTCGAGCGCGCGAAATGCAGGCGAGAGTGCGATTTGTCCCGGTCCGGGACAACCTTCTGCGGAGATCGTGCGTGTCGAGTGCGCGAAATGCAGGCGAGAGTGCGATTTGTCCCGGTCGCGGGCAACCCTCTGCGGAGATCGTGCGTGTCGGATGCGCGAAATGCAGGCGAGAGTGCGATTTGTCCCGGTCGCGGGCAACCCTCTGCGGAGATCGCGCGTGTCGGATGCGCGAAATGCAAGCGAGAGTGCGATTTGTCCCGGTCCGGCGCAACCCTCTGCGGAGATCGTGCGTGTCGACTTTGTAGTATCAACTTGAGTACGCGGAGTATCTGGGGAGCTGGAAGATGAGAGAACTGGCGACTTTCTAGTACGACTTTAGTACGCGGAGTATCTGCGGAGCTGGAAGCTGAGAACTGGCGACTTTGTAGTCCAACTTTAGTACGCGGAGCAATCTGTGGAGCTGGAAGCTGAGCACTGGCGACTTTCTAGTACAACTTTAGTACGCGGAGTATCTGAAAAACCGGAAGACGATGAGAACTGGCGACTTTCTAGTACAACTTTAGTACGCGGAGTATCTGAGGAGCTGGAAGATGAGAACTGGCGACTTTGTAGTACAACTTTAGTACGCGGAGCAATCTGTGGAGCTGGAAGCTGAGCACTGGCGACTTTGTAGTACAACTTGAGTACGCGGAGCATCTGGGGAGCTGGAAGATGAGAACTGGCGACTTTCTAGTACAACTTTAGTACGCGGAGCAATCTGTGGAGCTAAAAGCTGAGAACTGGCGGCTTTGTAGTACAACTTTTGTACGCGGAGTATCTGAGCTGGAAGATGAGAACTGGCGAAGTTGTAGCACAACTTTAGTACGCGGAGTATCTGGGGAGGTGGAAGATGAGAACTGGCGACTTTGTAGTACAACTGTAGTACGCGGAGCAATCTGTGGAGCTGGAAGCTGAGAACTGGCGACTTTGTAGTACAACTCTAGTACGCGGAGTATCTGGGGAGCTGGAAGGCGATGAGAACTGGCGACTTTGTAGTACCACTTTAGTACGCGGAGCAAGCTGTGGAGCTGGAAGCTGAGAACTGGCGACTTTCTAGTACAACTTTAGTAGGCGGAGTATCTGGGGAGCTGGAAGATGAGAACTGGCGACGTTGTAGTACCACTTTAGTACGCGGAGCAAGCTGTGGAGCTGGAAGCTGAGATCTGACGACTTTGTAGTGCAACTTTAGTACGCGGATGAGTCATCTCTCGTGGCTGAGTCATCTCTCGCGGCTGCTCTGGCGCCCCTGCAGCTGAGTCATGTCTCCCGACCACCCGGCTCTCTTGAGAGGTTGACAAATTTTAGCTACTTTGCTTACTCATAAGTGGCTGCCGCAAAAGAGTCATCGTGACGTTATTATGTGTGTACTTGCACCTTCATGACAAACGATGTTCGCTTGGAATACACGAGTCGCTTGTCATGATCGTGACGTCGTTTACTCTCAGGTCGTCCTGTTCGTGGAAACTTCAGTGTGAAATGTACGTTCTTCAGTTCTTTTTGAACCTCTTCAGCGTTGTACTTGCACAACTAAGGTTGACGTTGCACTGCCGTTGCATCGACGCATCTACGTCTACACCCCCTCACCTCTCTACATTTACATCTTCACTCGCTCACATCCGCAGATCTACCTCTCCACCTCACCACACCCACACATCTGCACATCTATATCACATCTGTACATCCACACTGTCGCTCCTTCACATCTGTCCTGTCTTTCTTTCTTTCTACATATCTTTTCTCTCGTCTCTGTGCATTTACATCTTCACACGCTCACATCCACAGATCTACCTCTCCACCTCCATGCATCTACAGCTCTACATCGCACCTGCACATCACACGGTCACTCCTTCACATCCACCCTCTCTTTCTCTCTTTCTATATATCTTTTCGACAGTGCTGGACAATTACATGTCTCGCTCTCGGGCCAACCGTCGTCTAGTTGAATAAGGATTTTTGGAAAGACAGTGCGCACATACTGTTTGGAATTGTTGGGACACTAAAAGGTTAAATAATGGACATTTGCATCCAAAGACCTTGAAATCTGAATGGACATCTCAAATTTAAGAACAATAACAATTTCCGTTCTCAAATTTAAGAACAATAACAATTTCCGTTCAAACACCTTCAAAATTCAAAAGTACAAAATCTCAATGGACATCTCTAATCGTTGAAGGAAATCTGCATCCAGAGATCTTCAAAATCATACAACCAGAGAGGACTAACATCAATAAACAACAATACAAACATATTTTCCCAAACATATCCCTCCCCCAAAAAAAGACATTATTCTGGGGGCCTTGATTAATCAGTGCAGGGAAATTTGCTGACATTATTTTGGGGCGTTTATTATTCAGAGGATTAATTTCATAGGCCGAATCCCGAATCAACTAAGGATTTTACACTACAAAAACCAGGTCAACCATTCTTTTGATGGTCTTGGAAGTCTAGGGTTTGGTACTTTGTGGTGCTGAGCAAAATCACATTCCTGGGCTAACATGGTGTGCTACTCCTTGTGTTGTCCTCCTCCTTGAGCCCCAGCTAACCCCAGACCCCACACAGCACTTGGTTTGCACATGAACTACATCATGTATAGCAGGGTTGGGCCGAATTCTTTCCCACAGACCCGTGAAGACTGAAGTTGTCCTTCGCCTGACTCTACTAGGAAGAGAATCGTCACCATGTCCCTTGGGACCTTTAGCGTGATATATTGACATTTGGATGGTGGGAATGGGCGTGTTCATACTTTTCCCATCCCACCTCCTTCTTGCCACCCTCCGATCCGCTCCAATGGGCGTCATCAGATTCCAACTTCGCGGATGGTGCCCGCCCCAGAGGGAAACGAGGCGGATGGTACCCAGCTTGATGAAGCAGGAATGAACATGGTTAGATAAGGTTAGGTTTTTTCATGTATTTTGTTTCCAGATTTGGCATCCCAAAGTCCAAAGCAGTTGTGTTTGTCACTCTGCCCCAAGCGAAATTGATTGATCGAAAAGGTTACCCGACCATCATGACCGGGCTCTCTGCCTACCACGGAGTTCCAGGAAGATGGGTGTTCGAGGACGTAATGTTCAGGGTCCATGCGATGGTCAAGGGGGGAAATTGTGCGGATTCGTCGTCTGGCAGTTTTGCTGGATGGAACCCATTCCTCGGGGTGCTTGATGTTCCATCGTGTTGTCGGTTCTCGACCCCGCCATGCACGGACAGCGATTTCTCAGCGCCAAACAGCGCGGACAGCTTGACCTGCCTTCAGAACTCGTCGCTTCCATCAACTCGTCGTTGGGATGAACATGTCCAGACCCCTCATGATGTCTCATGATCCCTCATGGACATATTCCATCGTTGCTCTCAGAATCGCCACCAAACCAAAGAGCTCCCATCGGCGCGTGGTGTGGACATGAGTGGACATCTCGGGGGGTCCAGTGCCATCCTTTGGACCAACTGGCAGTCCTTCCAGCGATGGACCTCGCTGGTAAGACCTCGACCCACTGACCGAGGCTGACAGGTGGGAACGTGCCCTGGCTCAGCCCAGTTCGGCCTGTGGTCTCCGAACTTGGCCTCGTTCACACCCAGCACCGGATCTCACCCCACCCGCCCACCATCTCTCAGCTCCACTCCACTCCACGGCAGACCCTCTTGTGTTGGGGGTATGCAGCAGATCATGAGTGCCACCCAACCCTCCCAACAGAGGTTGAAGAACCCTAGTTCGACTACCCTATAGGTACCGCTGTAGGGTCCTAGTTCAGGTCACTTAACCTCTCTTGGTCTCGCCCCACCACCCCCACCGTCCGGCCGAGGACGTCCGCTCACCGAGCTGGTCGACAAGCTCCTCCTCGCCGAGGCGGATCCAACGCGCCCGGGAACGGGTGGCGGCCGATCGGTGGTGCGGTGGCCGGCTGATCCCGAGGTGAAAACAGCAGAGAAGGGATTTGAGGTCACGAAAGGTAGCCTGGTAAGGACTACCTTGAGTTTGCTTTGCGAA